GGTGGGAGGATCACTTGAGGCCAGGAGGAGTTCAAGACCAGCCTGGGCAATACAGTGAGACCCTGTCTCTACAAAAAATTTAAAAGTTAGCCAAGGAGTGTCTCACGCCTGTAATCTCAGCACTCTGGGAGGCCCAGGCAGGCGGATCACAAGGTCAGGACCAGCCTGGCCAATATGGTGAAACACTGTCTCTACTAAAAATACAAAAATTAGCTAGGCATGGTAGAAGGCACCTGGAGTCCCAGCTACTTGGGAGGCTGAGGCAGGGAATCACTTGAACCAGGGAGGTGGGGGTTGCAGTGAGCCATGATCGCACCACTGCCCTCCAGCATGGGTGACAGAGCAAGACACCAGAAAAAAAATTAGCTGGTTGTAGAGGCATGACTTGGAAGGATGAGGGAGGAGTATTGCTTGAGCCCAGAAGTTTAAGGCTGCAGTGAGCTATGACTGCATACCGTATTGAAGCCTGGAAGCAAGACCTTGCTTCTAAAAAACAAAAACAATAAAATAACTCAAAATGGATCACAGACCTGCAGGTAAGAGCTAAAACTCTGAATGTCTAGAGCTCTACTGCTCAATACATTAGCCATTAGTCAAATGTGGCTGAGCACTTGAAATGTTTGTGGCTAGTATAAACTTAAATGTGCTATAGATGTAAAACATACATTAATTTTTGAAGACTTAGTATTAAAAAATTTAAAATATCTCATTAGTAAAGTTTTATAGCACTTAGATGCTAAAACAATATTTTAGGTATACTGGCTTAAATAAAATATATTAAAATTAAGTTCACCATTTCAAATGTCTACTGAAAGTTTTTACTTTTTTTTTTTTTTTTTTTTAAAGATGGGGTTTCACCATGATGGCCAGGCTGGTACTGAACTCCTGACCTCAGGTGATCCACCCACCTTGGCCTCCCAAAGTGATAGGATTACAGGCGTGAGCCACCGTGCCCGGCTGAAAGTTTTTACTGTTTTATTTTTATTTTTTGAGACAGAGTCTTGCTCTGTCCCCCAGGTTAGAGTGCAGTAGTGCGATCTGGGCTTACTGCAATCTCTGCCTCCAAGGTTCAAATGATTCTTGTGCTTCAACCTCTCGAGTAGCTGGGATTTAAACAGGTGTGGGCTAGCACACCCAGCTAGTTTTTGTATTTTTTTTTTAGTAGAGACAAGGTTTTGGCATGTTGGCCAGGCTGGTCTTGAACTCCTGGCCCCAAGTAATTCTCCTATCTCAATCTCCCAGAGTGCTAGGTTTACAGGTGTGAGCCACCCTGCGTGACCAAAAAATTTTTTAATTACATATGTTGCTCACATGTTATTTCTATTGAACAGTGCTGGTCTTAGAAGTAAACTTAGGAGAAAATATTATTGATTTTGCAAAGATTTCCTAAAATAAGGCAACAAAAGTACAAACTACAAAGAAGAAAAGATGATAAACTGGACTTCTCAAAATTAAAAAACATTTTCTCTTCAAAAGATACCACTAAGAACATGAAAGCCAGGCACAGTGGTGCACACCTATAATCCCAGCACTTTGGGAGGACAAGGCGGCCAGACGGCTTGAGCTCAGGAGTTCAAGACCAGGCTGGGCAAGTTAGTGAGACCCTGACTATATGTATGTATTTTTTTTAAAAGGCTGTCAATACTAGGTATTGGTGAGAATACAGAGCAACTGGAATTTTCACACATGGCTGGTGGGAATACAAAACAGTATAGCCATTTTAAGAAACAGTTTGGATGTTTGTTATGAAGTTAACATATAATTTAGCAATTTCACTCTCAAGTATTTACTAAAAAGACCAGCCTAGCTAATGTGGTAAAATCCCATATCTACTAAAAACAACAACAACAAATTAGCTGGGTATGGTGGCACATGCCTCTGGTCCCAGCTACTTGGTAGGCTGAGGCATAAGAATTGCTTGAACTCAGGAGGTGGAGGTTACAGTGAGCCAAGATCATCCTGGGTGACAGAGTGAGAAACTGTCTCAAAAAAAAAGTATTTACTGAAGAGTATGAAAACATGTCTACACAAAGGACAGGCATGGTGCCTCACACCTGTAATCCCAGCACTTTGGGAGGCTGAGACGGGTGGATCACTTGAGGTCAGAAGTTCGAAACCAGCCTGGCAAACATGGTGAAACCCTGTCTCTACTAAAAATACAAAAATTAGCGAGCCAGTAGTCCTAGCTATTCAGGAGGCTGAGGCATGAGAATTGCTTGAACCTGGGAGGCAGAGGTTGCAGTGAGCTGATTATGTCACTGCACTCCAGCCTAGGAGACAGAGCAAGACTCCGTCTCATTAAAAAGAAAAAAAAAATGATCATCAGTAAAAAGAAAAAAAAACAAACCAGGAGGCTGAGGCAGGAGAGTAGCTTGAACCTGGGAGGTGGAGATTATGGTGAGCTGAGATCATCACATCATTGCACTCCAGCTTGAACAACAAGAGCAAAACTCCATCTCAAAAAAGAAATTACATTTGTACAATGAAATATTACTCAGCAATAAAAAGGAATGATCTACTGATACATATAACATGAATAAATCTAAAAAATATTATACTAAGAGAAAGAAGCCAGACACAAAAACTATATATTACATTATTTCATTTATATTAAATTATAGAAAAGGAATTTCTACAGTGATAGAAAACATCAATGGTTTCCAGGAATGTGAGTGTGGGGGAGGGTACTGACTGCAAATACAAAGGAACTGTATGGGGTGATAGAAATACCACATTGGGGATGGCTACAAATTCTTCCAATTTGTACAGTTAAACTTAGTAATTTTACAGCATGTAAAATACACTGTAACAAAGCCGACTAAAACAAATGAAACAACATAAAATGTAGTTTCTGATTTAGCAGGTCGGATGTGGGGGGCATAAGAACTTGTATTCCTAACAATTTTAACATTCTTAGATGATGCTGATTGCTGCTGCTGGTCCCAGGACCTCACTTTGAGAAGCCTTGGTCTAGTGAGAGACATTGACAAAAGGGGCCTAAAATAAGATGGGTATCATCTTAATTAATATCCATTCTGTACCACTACCTACCTATCTTGAAGACAGTACTCTATCTTCAAGAGCAAAGATAATCAAGAAAACACTATGACTTCTCACATCTCCTGACACACTTCTTGAAAACCCAATATGACACAGGCCTAGAACCTTTAGGATAAATTGGAGGTCCTTTGAATATTACTTTAAACACCTTAGGTTCAGAAGCAAATGTGGCCAGTTAACACCTCCCATTTCTAAAACTCAGCCGTGCATTTCCATACCAGGATACCTGCTTTGAAACGCAACTCACACTACTGGCCTTTGCTCATATTGTTTTCTTGCTCTGACCATTTCCTGATCCCAAACATTGAAATTGCATTTTTTTTTTTTGAGACAGAGTTTCACTCTTGTTGCCCAGGCTGAAGTGCAATGGTGCAATCTCGGCTCACTGCAACCTCCGCCTCCTGGGTTTAAGCGAGTCTCCTTCCTCAGCATCTTGAGTAGCTGGGATTACAGGCATGCACCACCACACCTGGCTAATTTTCTACTTTTAGTAGAGATGGGGTTTCTCCACGTTAGTCAAGCTGGTCTCGAACTGCCAACCTCAGGTGATCTACCTGCCTCAGCCTCCCAAAGTGCTGGGATTACTGGCGTGAGCCACTGCGTCCAGCTGTATTTGTTTTTTAAGGCCATCTCAAATGGCATTTCCTTAATGAAACCATATGTGTTACTTCCTTTTCTATGTTCTCACTGTTATTCATACACTCCTTCGTTATAGTGTTTATCTGGTCTTACCTATCTTAATAAATGCTTATAGAATACACCAATTTCTAATTAATAGTAAGGGCTCCTAGAAAACAAATACATTTGGAGAAGTGACTCGGAGTAGACATCATATTTTTGTTAGTCCTTTATCTCTTACAGGGGAGCTCTCTTCTTCCCTTTTATGGTAGGTCTGATTAGTCCTTGTGGTTCTAGTGAGACCAACTCCACCCACAGGACCCAGGCCTGACCAATATGAGTCATTCCTTCTCCTCGTCTCAATACTGGGTTCTAGGATAAGCATATCACCCAACCTTAACCAACCATATATCTTCTCAGTGCTCTTGAGCCAGAAACATAGGCAGATTAGCTTATACCTGGAAAAGTCCGATACCATTTATGTTAAATTAAAAATACAAACACAGTGGACAAAGAAAATTAATACACAGTACTCATTACAATGATCTAGCCCACTGTTTAGTAATCCTTACTGTATCCAAAAATAACATGAGAAAAAGGCACAAAGGAAATAACCAGACATCTTACAAATTTGATTAATTACTGAACACTGTGAACTCTGATTTGTGTTAGATTAGCCAAAAGGATGCCTTTGCATCAAATATTGAAAGTTAGAGGGCACAACTCTTTAACCTTCCCCAGGTTTTAACAGCAACAGATGAAGCTTACTTAGGGTCAAAAGAAAATGACATCCAAAGAACAAACACTAGAAGCCAAGGAAAGGTAAATGGAAGCAAGAGATCTGCATGTATCAGTAAGACAGACATCAATAGGCTTCAGAGGATTATTATGTAGTCCTCTGAAGTACGATCTATTACCTGGTAAATAAGAGCTCCCAACAGTGGGAGAACATGGAAGTTTTTCTTGTTTTGTTTTGTTTTTTTGAGATGAGTCTCACTCTGTCGCCTAGGCTGGAGTGCAGTGGTGCGACCTCAGCTCACTGCAACCTCTGCCTCCTGGGTTCAAGCGATTCACCTGCCTCAGCCTCCCAAGTAGCTAGGATTACAGGCATGCACCACCACACCTGGCTAATTTTTCTATTTTTAGTAGAGACAGAGTTTCACCATGTTGGCCAGGCTGGTCTTCAACTCCTGCCTCAGCCTCCCAAACTGTTGGGATTAAAACATGAGCCACTGCATCCAGCAAGAAGTTTTGAGATAAATGATATACTAGTCCTTTAGGGGTGACTTCCAGGAAAGGAGCTGTGTAAAGCCCTCACTCACCTGAGTGATTATGCGTTCTCCATCCTTATAGATCTTCTCTCCTATTACATCCACAATCTTCATTCGTTCTGACAACTGAAACAACAGACAAATCCAAAAATAAAAGGAAAAGACCTTAAGTGAAAGTCACAATAGCTATGGAACACAGAAATGGGGTTAGAATAGCATGATTTGAAAACCTAACAACAAGTTTTAAAAGCGTTTCCTAATCCCCATGAACAGATTCTTATTCAAGCCATTTTACCTCCAGTGATTTAAGGAGGGGCACAGACTCAATAAATGATTCAAACATCTTCCTCTTCTTTGCATTATTTTTCACTATGATTCTTCTAAAAGTCACCCGGTCCTATAAGAAAAAATATGAAAATTCTAGTAAATGCCTGTATACAGGAACATCTATGGCTTAATTAACTAGCCCAAGCAAATTATTAGAGGAATATGTAAGCTACTGTGTTAATTAAATGTTTAATGATACTTCAATCTTGAGTCATCACTGGAAGAAAAAGACCTTATAGCCTGAGCCCACCAGATGCCCACATGCTGTTGCTTGCTGTCTAGCGCTCAATAGGTGCCACCTATGGGTCATAAATAAAACACAAAACAGAAAAGACCTAAACATTTTGTGAGCTCACTGTCACTGTTCAATGTCAAAAAAGACACCTCTACTGAGCTAAGATGCTACTGGACTCCAGGCTGGGTGACGGAGTGAGACCCCATTTCAAAAAACAAAAAAAAAAACACCTCACCAAAAGAGAGAATAAAACAATCATTTAATTCTTAAAATCCAGAATTAATCAATTAATTAATTAATTAATATTATTATTTTTGACACAGAGTCTCACTCTGTCACTGGGCTGGAGTTCAGTGGCGGGATCTCAGCTCATTGCAATCTCCGCCTCCCGGGTTCAAGCAATTCTCCTGCCTCAGCCTCCTGGGTAGCTGGGACTACAGGCATATGCCACCACGCCCAGCTAATTTTTTTTTTGTATTTTTAGTAGAGATAGGGTTTCACCACGTTGGTCAGGATGGTCTCGATCTCTTGACCTCGTGATCTGCCCACCTAGGCCTCCCAAAGTGCTGGGATTATAGGCATGAGTCACCACACCCAGCTGGTTCTAACATTTTCTATGCATGCTTTTAACACTTCCCAGAACTCTCTTTTCATGTGGTGCAAGGCCAGTTCCTATGGCTGTGAAGAATATTAAAGAAAAGCACCAGACATCCACACAGCCTTTGAGGAGCATCCAATCAAGCAGTGAAGAAGAAATTCCCATAGGCTGTAAGTGCTCAAAGGCAAGCACTCAAAGGCAAGAACTTAGCCCTGAAGTTCATAAGAGAAAGAGTGCTACTCTCTCCTGTGACTGCAGGAAGTTCCCAGGAAAGCTTCTATTGACTTTCAATAAAGCAAGAGAGAGCAGAAGCAGAGACTAAGTATAGGGACCATAATGGCAGCTGCCCACTAAAAGCAGGAATGTAGGATCCAACTTGAGAAACTTAGTGACAACACCAAGTCCTCCCTACTTTGGCCTCAGAAGGCATTTCCAAGGCCTTTGGAGGCCCAAGTAAGAAGTCAGGCTGGAGAGGAGCTTCTGGGAGTTACTTTCCTAGAGGTGGTAATGAAGCTTTGGAAGAGTCTGGGCTTGCAAAGCAAGTGAACGAAGAGGAGAAAAGTAGAGGCCAAAAAGACATCTTGATAGGTCACTGACCTCACTTAAGAAAGTAAGGAAAAGAGGAAATGACTGCCAAAGGCAAGGAAGTAGAAAGAACAGGGGTCTTAGGAAAAGAAGTCTCAGGAAAAGAGGCGTGGTGAGTAGCACCATGGCCCTGGGCGGCTTGTGCCACCATTCTGTGAACACCACCTTGTACCAGGCACTAAGGGAGTTGCTTCTCTTATACCCATCTATTTAATCCTCATATCCCAGCCACAAAAGCAGGTGGTTTCATACCTCACTATATATTTTTCAATTTCCATTGAGACTTTCTCTTTATCTTTGAGATTATCCAAGAATGCTTATTTGGGCTGGGTGCAGTGGCTCTTGCCTATAATCCCAGCACTCTGGGAAGCAGAGGCAGGCAGATCACCTGAGGTCAGGAGTTCAAGACCAGCCTGGCCAACATGGTGAAACTCTGTCTCTACTAAAAATACAAAAATTGTCTGGGCGTGGTGGCACAGGTTTGTAATCACAGCTATTCAGGAGTCTGAGGCAGGAGAACCACTTGAACTCAGGAGGCAGAGGTTGCAGTGAGCTGAGATCATCTTAAAAAAAAAAAAATGTTGTTTGGCAGGGCACAGTGGCTCATACCGGTAATCCCAGCACTTTGGGAGGCCAAGGCAGGAGCATTGCTTGAGCTCAGAAGTTCAAGACCAGTCTGGGCAACATACTAAGACTCTGTCTCTACCAAAAAAAAAAAAAAGTCAGGTGTGGTGGTGTTTACCTGTAGTACCAGCTACTTGGGAGGCTGACGTGGGAGGACTGCTTGAGCTTAAGAGGTCAAGGCTGCAGTTAGCCGTGCTCAATGCCAAAAAGAATGTTACTTAATTTCTAAGTGTCTGGAGATCTTTGTTATTCATTTTCAGTATCTTTCTTTCAATTGTAGTTAAAGAACACATCTGATTTCAATTCTTTTTTTTAAAATTTTCATTATTTTGGCCGGGCGCGGTGGCTCATGCCTGTAATCCTAGCATTTTAGGAGGCCGAGATGGGTGAATCATGAGGTCAGGAGATCAAGACCATCCTGGCCAACATGGTAAAACCCCATCTCTACTAACAATACAAAAATTAGCCAGGCATGGTGGCACGCACCTGGGGTCCCAGCTACTTGGGAGGCAAGAATCTCTTGAACCCAGGAGGCAGAGGATAAAGTGAGCCGAGATTGTGCCACTGCACTCCAGCCTGGCAACAGAGCAAGACTCCATCTTGAAAAAAAAAATTTTCATTATTTCTTAAAATTTCAAATAGAGATGTGGTTTCACTATGCTGCCCAGGATAGTCTCAAATTCCTGGACTCAATCCTCTCACCTCAACCTCCCAAAGTGCTTGGATAACAGGCTTGAGTCACTGTGGTTGGCCTGATTTCAATTCTTTTATATTTTTTAAAGTTTTATTTCATATTCCAGGATATGGCTTCTTTGGGTGAATGTTCTATAGGCTTGAAAAAAATGTTCATTCTGTTGTTGTTGTTGTGTGCAGTAGTCTATAAATTTCAGATAGTTTTTGTTTATTAACGGCATTAAGTTCTTCTACATCCTAGCTGACACTAGATGATTTTCTGTCTAGTCATTCATTCTTTTGTTTGAGACGGAGTTTCACTGTTGCTGAATGTACCTATTGGCAGATCTGGATTTCAGGCTTTTCCAGCACCACATCTGGGATACATGGGAACCTGGAAACTCACTGTCATGTCTTCCCTCAAGTGCCAATATCCCTAGATAGTCTGCCTTCTTCTTTCCACCTTTTTTTAAATTTTGAGACAGAGTCTCACTATTGCCCAGACTGGAGTACAGTGGTGCGATCTTGGCTCATTACCACCTCTGCCTCCTGGGTTCAAGTGATTCTCCTGCCTCAGCCTCCCGAGTAGCTGGGATTACAGATGCCCGCCACCATGCCTGGTTAATTTTTGTATTTTTAGTAGAGAAGGGGTTTCACCATGTTGGTCGGGCTGGTCTCCAACTCCTGACTTCAAGTAATCCACCTGCCTCGGCCTCCCAAAGTGCTGGGATTACAGGCATGAGCCACTGTGCCTGGCCATGTGTGTGCGGCTTTTTTTAAGTTATAAATGAGAAGAGCATGGAATAGGGCTACTCCATCTTGGTCTGAACCAGTAGTTGGCACCAAAGCTTATTATTTTATTTTATATTTTTTTGAGACGGAGTCTCGCTCTGTCACACAGGCTGGAGTGCAGTTGTGCAATCTTGGCTCACTGCAATTTCCGCCTCCCAGGTTCAAGTGATTCTTCTGTCTCAGCCTCTTAAGTAGCTGAGATTATAGGCGCCCACCACCACACCTGGCTAATTTTTATATTTTAGTAGAGATGGGATTTTCACTATCTTGGTCAGGCTGGTCTCGAACTGCTGACCTCAAGTGATCTATCCACCTCAGCCTCCCAAAGTGCTGGGATTACAGGTGTGAGCCACTGCACCCAGCCTATTTTGTTGTTTTTTGAGACAGAGTCTTGCTCTGTAGCCTGGACTGGAAGGTAGTGGCATGACCACTGCAACCTCCACCTTCTAGGTTCAAGTGATTCTAGTGCCTCAGCCTTCCGAGTAGCTGGGATTAAAGGTCTGCGCCACCATGTCCAGCAAATTTTTCATATTTTTAGTAGAGATGGGGTTTTGTTATGTTGACCAAGCTTGCCTGAACTCCTGGCATGAAGTGATCCACTCACCTTGGCCTCCCATAGTGCTAGGAATACAGGCATAAGCCACCACACGCAGCCATAGATGTCAACATTTTAAAAGTGAAATGTGGAATTTGTATAAGAGGATGATTATTTTGTTTAAGAAGGAAAAGAGTTCTATATTTTGAATATATAACTTGGTGCTGAAGGAAATCATGTATAATAGAAGATAGCGATCACAGGAGTATTATGCCTAAGACATTCTGGGAAAGTCAGAATATGGCCATCAGCCTTTCTAGTGATCTAAGTCTATTGGATATTGGCTTAGACCAATGAGCAAGTAGATGGCTAAACATACAGCACAGACGGTCCTGGGATACCTAGAAATGGAAAACGCTTTTGGCAGAGTTTTCAGTGACACTTGCTTTTTCTAGGCTGTGTCTTGTATAAAGAGTTATTCCCTCTCTCCACTTATCTGATAAAATCAAAAACACACAAAAAAATAATATGAGCTGTATACTACTATAAGGTCATAAGACCCAGTCTTGTCCCCATAACTTGGAGTAATAATTTGTTGACAAATCATTTTAGAGAAATGGAAAAATGTATTTGTACAAGATCTTCCACAATATCTTTCAGATAACTGGCTATAAGATATAGTGTAAATCAAGAGCCCTAGGACAGAGACCCAGAAGGGCAATTAATACTGTGCCTTCCAAGGTGAAAAATGTCTTTCACTTACCAGTCCCCAAAGGGAGCCTTCTGAGGTAGCAACAATGGTAGCAGCTCTCGGGGTGTTGTACATCAGAGCTAGTTCTCCAAAACTGCCACGGTTGTCATATTGACCAACAGAGCGGGTTTGATTATTTTTTGTTACTAAAATGTCATAAGTTCCCCTAGAAGAGTGATAAAAAATTATTTCATTAGTTACTTGTGATAATAAATGTAAAACTGGCAGGTACATATAATAGAAAATGTTGTTTTAAGAGATTTCCAATGGAACTTTGCTTTCCAATGGAACATATTTTTGTATTTTGACTTTGGGTCCTATAACCTCACTAAACTCACTTATTAATTCTAGTAGCCTTTTTTGTGGCATTCTTGGAATATTCTACATAGAGATCATGTCACCTGAAAAAAAGACAACTTTAATACTTCCTTTCCAATCTATATGCCCCTTTCTTTCTTTTTTCCCCCCATCTTTAACTTAAAAAAAAAATTTTTTTTTAGACAGGGTCTTGTTCTGACACCTAGGCTGCAGTGCAGTGGCACAATCATGGCTCACTGCAGCCTCTACCTCCTGGCCCCAAGCAATTCTCTCAGCTGAGAATCCTGAGTAGTTATGACCACAGAGGTGTGCCACCACATCTAACTTTATTTTTATTTTTGTAGAGATGGGGATGGTCTCACTATGTTGCCCAAACTGGTCTGGAACTCCTGGGCTCAAGCAATTCTCCTCTCTCAGTCTCTCAAAGTACTGGGATTAAAGGCATAAGTCACTATGCCCAGCCTAAATTTTTTTTAATTAATACATATATTTTACATATTTATGGAGTACATGTGTCTGTTCCATGCACAGAATGGGTAATTATTAAGCCAGGGTATTTGGGGTATCCATCACCTTGGATATATGTCATTTCTGTGTCACTATCATTTCATGTCCTCTCTTCTATTAATATTTACTGTGAAATACGCAAAATATTGCCACCAAGTATAGTCACCTTATCATGCTATAAAACATTAGAACTTGTGAAGTTCTGTAATCTCAGCACTTTAGGAAGCTGAACTGAGAGAACTGCTTGAGCCCAGGAGTTTGAGATACACCTGGCCAACATATGAAGACTTGTCTCCACAAAAAGGAAAATTAAAGATAAGAAAGACATATTAAAACATATTTCTTCTAACTTTGTGTTTGTAGCCAATAGCCAACTTCTCTTCATCCACCCACCACCCTTCTCAATTTCTGGTATAAATCACTCTATTCTCTATGTCTATCATATCAGTGTTTTTAGCAGTCACATGTGACTGAGAACATGTGGTATTTGTCTTCCTGTGCCTAGCTTATTTAACTTAATGTAGCAACCTCCATGTTGCTACAAATGACATGACTTCCTTTTTTTTTAACGGTCAAATAGTACTTCATTGTGGATCTAAGCCACATTTTCTTTCTTCCTTCTCATCCTCTCTTCCTTACTGAATTGACTATATAACCTCCAGTACAATATTAAGTGAAAGTGGTGAAAGCAAACATCCTTGCCTTATTCTGAGTTGTAAGGAAAAACAATCTTTCACCATGCTGTAGGTTTTTAAAAAATGCCTTTAGTCTGGTTGGGGAAAGTTATTTTTGTTGCTAATTTGCTGAGCATTTTCATCACAAAAAGATGGTGAGTTTTGTCAAATATTTTGCTGTAGGTATTGAAACAAGTGCATGGGTTTGCTTTCATAGTCTGTACAAAATTAGGATACAACTGATTAAAATAAAGCAAATGATACAATTATTTAACTACTGATTGGCAATAATTGCTTAAAAAAAAAAATCAGAACTGACAAGCATTTGTAGAAATAGGGACTCTCAACATACCACTGAAGGAAACATAAACTTTTCAAAGTTTCTGAAAGATAATTAAACATATAGGAAATTCCTTAAAAAGATCCTTTGATACAGTAATTCCATTTCTAGTCATCCCAAAAGAGATAATCAAAGACACTACAAAAGATTTAATTGCAGAGATTTCATCAGGTAATATTTATAATAGCAAAAACTACAAGTAATTTAATCTGCTAATAATAGGAGATGAATCAAATACATGTTTCCATCCATATTATGGAGTCACTGAAAGTAATGACAGAATATGGCTGGGTGCGGTGGCTCACAGCTGTAATCCCAGCACTTTGGGAGGCTAAAGTGGGCAGATAACCTGAGATCAGAGTTCAAGACGAACCTGGCGAACATGGTGAAACGCTGTTTCTACTAAAAATATAAAAATTAGCTGGGTGTGGTGGCACCTGCCTGTAATCCCAGCTACTTGGGAGGCTAAGACAGGAGAATCACTTGAACCTGGGAAGCGGAGGTTGCAGTGAGCCAAGCTCGAGCCACTGTACTCTAGCCTGGGTGGCAGAGTGAGACTCTGTCTCAAAAAACAATAATAATAATATTGATAATAAAGACAAAATAATACTGTAACTCCATAACATGCTTAAAATAGACTTAAAAAATTAAATCACACAATGTATAATTTAATGTAATAAAATTATGTAAAGATAACTCCATTAGGTGACTTCATTTTTGATGTTTGATTGTTGACAGCTTTCAAATCCTTTCTCTTCTGCCCCATATCTGGGAAAGTGATAAGAAAGCCTAGGCACTCCCTCCTTTGGTGCTGATGGGGAGTTCAACCAACACAAATGCCAGCCCATGTGTAAGAGTACCCTCACCTAACCCTACCTTCTAACCACCATAAAATCCCAAGCCAATCATACCTTGCCTGCTATCTGAAGTCATTTTTGGATCTGTCTGGGAGCCTCCCCTGCTCTCTCTAAAAAGGTTCAACATGTAAGTAATAAACCTTTTCATGGCCAGGCGTGGTGGCTCACGCCTGTAACCCCAGCACTTTGGGAGGCCGAGGCGGGTGGATCACGAGGTCAAGAGATCGAGACCATCCTGGTCAACATGGTGAAACCCTGTCTCTACTAAAAATACAAAAAAATTAGTTGGGCATGGTGGCGCGTGCCTGTAATCCCAGTTACTCAGGAAGCTGAGGCAGGAGAATTTCCTGAACCCAGGAGGCGGAGGTTGTGGTGAGCCGAGATCCCGCCATTGCACTCCAGCCTGGGTAACAAGAGTGAAACTCCATCTTGGGAAAAACAAAAAACAAAAACCTTTTCATATCCTTTTAGTGTATATGTAATGTCATCAGTCTTGATATCTCAACCACATTTTGGGTGAGGTGTCTGATTTCAACAGTAAAGCACAGAAGTATAGACTGGTAATTAGATTATGCCTAAATTAATTTTATCCTGTTCTTATATTTTTATATTCTCTACAAAGAACTTCCATCTGTCTATAAAATCACTACACATCACGTATTAAAAGAAAAGCAGAGAATGTGCCACTAACTTGCTCTCAGGGAGCTTACCACTCAGTAGGAAAGCTGACCTGTACTAGGCCTTTACAGACAAGGCAAAAGCAGTAAGGTCATTAATAGGAAATGTGGAATTCAGTGTTTCTAGTGTTTCCTCTAGGGGACACTAGCATTTAGCTTTGGGAGTGACAAGAACTCATTTCAGGCAGCAACACTGCAGAGGAACTCTGTTGACTTCTCATTCAGGTCCTCCTCTAAGTAATGAGGCATGTTTTTATCATTGTTGTTACCACCACATTATGTAACAATTATCTATTTAAAGGTCTGTCTCTCCAACTTGACCACTGAACTTTTTGAGGACAGAACTGTACCTTTTTACTTGAATGATAATCTTTCTTCTTTTTCTTTTTTCTTTTCTTTTGAGACAGAGTCTCACTCTGTTGCACAGGCTAGAGGGCAGTGGTTTGATTTCGGCTCACTGCAACCTCCACCTCCAAGGTTCAAGCAGTTCTCCTGCCTCAGCCTCCCGAGGAGCTGGGACTACAGGTGCGAGCCACCACACCCAGCTAATTCTTATATTTTTTTAGTAGAGATGGGGTTTCACCATATTGGGCTCAAACTCCTGACCTTGTGATCCGCCTGCCTTGGCCTCCCTAAGTGCTGGGATTACAGACGTGAGCCACTGTGGTCAGCCCTTTCCTATTTGTTAATCACCACATTCTTTTTTCTTTTATTCCGAGACAGGGTCTCACTTTGTCCCCCAGGCTAGAGTGCAGTGTTACAATCACTGCCCACTGCAGACTCAACCTTAGGTTCAAGTGATCCTCCCACCTCAGCCTTCCAATGAGCTGGAACTATAGGCTTGCACCACCATGCCCAGCTAATTTCTTTTTCCTTCCCCTCCCTTCCCCCAACCTTTTTGAAAAAAAAAATACTACACTATTTTATTTATTTATTTTTATTTTTTATAGACATGGGGTTTCGCCATGTTGGTCAGACTGGTCTCGAATTCATGACCTCATGATCTGCCCTCCTCGGCCTCCCAAAGTGCTGGGATTACAGGCATGAGCCACTGTGCCCAACACCCATCTAATTTTTTTAAAATGTTTTGTTTTTGGCCAGGCACAGTGGCTCAAGCCTGTAATCCCAGCACTTTGGGAGGCCGAGGCGGGTGGATCACGAGGTCAAGAGATTGAGACCATCCTGGTCAACATGGTGAAACCCTGTCTCTACTAAAAATACAAAAAATTAGCTGGCCGTGGTGGCGTGTGCCTGTAATCCTGGCTACTCAGGAGGCTGAGGCAGGAGAAATTTCCTGAACCCAGGAGGCAGAGGTTGTGGTGAGCCGAGATCGCGCCATTGCACGCACTCCAGCCTGGGCAGCAAGAGCGAAACTCTGTCTCAAAAAAAAAAAAAAAGGTGGTTGTTTTTTTTTTTGAGACAGAGTTTCGCTCTTGCTGCCCAGGCTGGAGCACAAAGGTGTGATCTTGGCTCACCGCAACCTCCGCCTCCTGGGTTGAAGCGATTCTTCTGCCTCAGCTTCCCAAGTGGCCTGGCTAATTTTTTTTGTATTTTTAGTAGAGATAGGGTTTTGCCACCATGCCTGGCTAATTTTTAGTATTTTTAGTAGAGATAGGGTTTTGCCACCATGCCTGGCTAATTTTTTGTATTTTTAGTAGAGATAGGGTTTTTGCCGTGTTGGCCAGACTGGTCTAAAACTCCTGACCTCAAATGTTCCACCCACCTCAACCTCCTAAAGTGTTGGGATTGCAGGCGTGAGCCACACACCCAGCCTAAAATAATGTTTTGTAGAGATGTGGTCTCATTATGTTGCCCAGTCAGACAATCCTCCCACCTTGGCCTCCCAAAGTGCTGGGATTACAGGTGTAAACTGTCCTGCCTGGTTCTTATTCACATTCACTACTTTCACTGTACAAAGAATAACCTCTTTTGTTTACATATGAAATAAATCATTCCCTCTGTAAAAAAGCATTTCAGTCTTTAAGTTGTGGGCATGTACAGGCAGATGCTTATTTCCCAGACCATAAGTGCCCAATGGGACCTCTGTCTTGGTGCAGAAGTACAAAGCAGGGCAAAGGGGAAAGGTGGCTGCTGGAGGTGGTAATATGATTTTATTATATTATAAGTATAATAGAATTACAGGCATGGTGGCCTGTAATCCTAGCACTTTGGGAGGCCGAGGAGGGTGAATCACCTGAGGTCAGGAGTTCAAGACCACCTTGGCCAACATGGCAAAACCCTGTATTTACTAAAAATACAAGAACTAGCCAGGCATCGTGGCATGCGCCTGTAATCCCAGCTACTCAGGAGGCTGAGGCAGAAGAATAGCTTGAACCCGAGAGGCAGAGGTTGCAGTGAGCCAAGATTGCACCACTGCACGCCAGCAGGGGCAACAGAGCAAGACTCTAAAAAAATAATAATAATAATAAGTCTGGCCAACATGGTTAAAACCCATCTCTGCTAAAATACAAAAATTAGCTGGGTGTGGTAGCAGGTGCCTGTAATCCCATTTACTCAGGAAGCAGTGGCAGGAGAATCCCTTGAACCTGGGAGGTGGAGGATGCAGTGAGTTGGGATTGTACCATTACACTCTAGCCTGGGCAACAGAGCAAGACTCTGTCTTAAAAAAACAAAAAATCGTTTGGTTCCAAAAAAAAAAAAAACCAAACAAATATTATATTTATAATTTTATTTAAAAACTATACTGGGCCAGGCGCAGTGGCTCACACCTGCAATCTCAGCACTTTGGGAGGCTGAGGCAGGTGGATCATGAGATAAAAAGATCAAGACCATCCTGGCCAACATGGTGAAACTCTGTTTCTACTAAAAATACAAAAATCAGCTAGGCATGGAGGTGCACACCTGTAGTCCCAGCTACTTGGGAAGCCAAGGTAGGAAAATTGCTTGAACCCAGGAGGTAGAGGTTGCAGTGAGCTGAGATCAGGCCACTGTACTCCAGCCTGGTGACACAGAGCAAGACTCCATCTCAAAAAAAACAAAACTATTGTCATTAGCATAAAAGATGAAGACAAAAGTCTTTTCTCTGAGGAGATATTATTTATGTTGTCTTTACTCTAATTAAAACATTTCCTTTAATTGTAGTAATTTGTCACAGGTAGCCAGAACCCAAAGGTTGCTCAAAGAGGGAGAGTATTTTCTGTTCAAGAACCTGAATAAGAAAAGGCTCAAGAGGAAAGGCAACCAATGAATCTAATACAGCCACTTAGATGGAGATCAAAAGAATCTCAAAAATGAGAATAATTAGAAAAATTTGAATAAGGTATGTAATTAGATGTAGTATTATATAAATGTTAATTTGTGATTTTTATAATTGTTCTACACTTAAGTAAGAGAATATCCTGCCTCGTGGGTTCAAGTGATTCTCCTGCCTCAGCCTCCCCAGTAGCTGGGACCACAGGCATACACCACCATGTCTGGCTAAATTCTTTTTCTTTTTTGCATTTTTAGTAGAGATGGGGTTTCACCATGTTGGCCAGGCTAATTTTGAACTCCTGACCTTAAGTGATCCGCCTGCCTCAGCCTCCCAAAATGCTAGGATTATAGGTGTGAGCCACTGCACCCAGCCTTGACAATAACTTAATAAAGTAAAGGTAGTACAACACTAACCTGGGAAACCTGTATTTATGATAATTTTTTTTTTCAAGTCTCCCAAGTAGCTGGGATTACAGGTGTGTACCACCATGCCCAACTAATTTTTATATTTTTAGTAGATACAGGGTTTCACCATATTGGCCACGCTGGTCACAAACTCCTGATCTCGGGTGATCCCCAAGTGTTGAGATTACAGGTGTGAGCCACCACACCTGGCCTAAAGGAAATTTTCTACTCTAGATGATGGCTCTTCAAATACGAGTTGTGCTGAGGACTCAGGACAGCATTGGTAGAGAGAGACAAGCTGTGTGGACTCTCACAGGCTTTCGGAGGCTTGTTCACCTGGCCCTAAGCCTCTCTGGGCTGAATACAGAATAGGATAAAGCATCTGCCCCGAATCACAAATCCAATTAAGTGTGGCCACACAATTGCAAAGCTCCATCTCCTACCGTTCTATGACATAAAAGTTGTCTCCATCATCTCCTTGGTCGATGACATGCTCATCAGCTTTGACTATCCTTTCAAACATGGCATCAAGAACTTGAGAAAGCTGTTCCTACAGGGTATGCACAGAAGGAAAAAAATAGCTTTTATATTTGCTGAAAAAAAGCAGTGACCATAATTATCAATATTTGTGACTATATAACAGAAGTCCCCACATTCAAGCAGAAACCTAAAGGCTGTCTGAAACAAATGCTTTCTTGGGACCATTCAGCTTTTTACCTCTATGTACTTCAGCAGAGAGAAAACTGGCAAGTTTTCTGAGGCAGTATTGTTTTGAATAAGCTTTCCACAATTTACGCAGAAATATTATCTAAATCATGGTCCATGTTTTCCCAGCCACATCCACATGACTGTCACCTGCCTGATGGCTGCACTATGCCATGTGTAAAGCCATATGCTGCCACACCTTCCTACAGGTGTTGACCTTAACAGGATCATCAGATCTAAAGGGCTGTTAGGGCCTTAGAGGTTATCTTTTAGAACAGCACAACTGCCTTTGACTAGCCAAACACATCACTTAACCTCGTTGAGCTTCAGTATCTTTTTTTTCTTTTTTCCTGGAGACAGAGTCTCACTCCTGGGTTCAAGCTATTCTCCTGCCTCAGCCTCTCAAATAGCTGGGACTACAGGCCTGAGCCACCACACCTGGCTAATTTTTGTATTTTTAGTAGAGAAGACAGGGTTTCATCATGTTGGCCAGGCTGGTCTCGAACTCCTAAACTCAGGTAATCCACTCGCCTTGGCTTCCCAAAGTGCTAGGATTACAGGCATGAGCTACCACGCCCGGCAAACTTCAGTTTCTTCATATGTAAAAAGGGTATAACAATAACAAAGATTCTACTTCAATATTTATGACCTAAAGAGAAAAACCTAAGGAAAGTATTTATGAAACAACAGATACTCAACAAATGAGATCTAGTATAAGACAGCTAATATTGCTTCATTTACATACAACACACACAATTACTTACTTACTAATATTGCCTGCCATAACCAGACATCAACTATATGGATAAGTATAATGAAAAGAAAACATTATTATTAAGTTCTAATGAAAAAATGGTCTCAGCCTTGGACCAGCATGCCTGTCAGACAGGGAGATCAGTGATTATTAGGACTTCACTAAAGAATACCAGATTCAATTTTAAAAAGACTTTCTCTTTGAAGGAATGTATACTGAACACCTGGAAAGAGAATAATTTTATGACTGCATAATTCCATGTGATTTTATGTTCTATCAGAGTGACTGTGCTACCAAGATTGAGTATCACCAAAAAGTATATTTAGTTCCATGTGCGTTGAATACTGTATAAGCTGACAAATACTAAAAAGGATGGCTTACAACTACATACTACCCACATTCACTGGAATGTGAGCTCAGTGTTGCCAGAAATCTATTTATATACTGGCGATAAATTTAAATTTTCATGGACAATACAGACCAAACACAGACATCTGTACCTAGCCTGTGGGTTGCCTGCTGAAAGCCTCTTGTTCTGAGTAACTTTTCTTCTTCTAGTCTGCACTCTTCAAACACATGTCATGAGATAAAGAATAAGATAGGTGGAAGGGGAGAATTTCTAGGTTAGAGGAGACTAAAATAACAACATGACAACCAAATGAAATACAGTTAAGTCCTCACTTAATGTGGTTGCTAGGTTCTTGAAAAATGTGAATTTAAGCAAAACAGTATCCTCAAATATAACAGTTATAACAATGATGAGGGGAAAAAAGGTTTCATTATAGGTTGCTTTGCTTAAAGTTGCAGTTTCCAAGACTACCAACAATGTTAAAGTGAGTACTTATTGTATGTGATTCAGGATGTTAGGTGAGGACTTACTGTACGTGATTTAGGATTGAAAAACAAAACCAAAAGCTATACAGAACTTTACTGGGAAAACTGAGGAAATCTGAGTATGGACTGTTGTTAGGTGATTTTATATTACGCCAATGTTAAATTTCTTGGATTTATTAAATGGCATTGTATTAACGTAGGAAAATTAAAAAAAAAAATTTTTTTTGAGACAGAGTCTCACTTTGTCACCCAGGCTGAAGTACAGTGGCGCGATCTTGGTACACTGCAACCTCCGCCTCCCAGGTTCAAGTGATTCTCCTGCTTCAGCCTCCCAAGTAGCTGGGATTTTGGGTGCGTGCCACCATGCCCAGCTAATTTCTATATTTTTAGTAGAGATAGGGTTTCGCCATCATGGCCAAGCTGGTCACGAACTCCTGACCTCAAGTAATCTGCCCACCTCAGCCTCCCAAAGTGCTGTGATTACAGGTGTAAGCCACTGAGCCAGGCCAGAAAGTATTCTTGTTCCTGGAAAATACATCCTAAATATTTAGTAGTGAAGAGTCATGATGTCATAAATGATTCAGAACAAAAAAAAAAATATTATATATACTCCCCTTTTCTTTCTCTCTTTAAATAAACTTACGTACAAGAGAAAAAGCAAATGTGGTAAAATGCTAAAATGTTTACAACTGGACAGTCTAGGTAAAGGGTGTCTGGGTATTCATGGTATTATTCTTGTGAATTTTCTGTAAATTTGAAATTTAAAAATAAAAATTTGGAAGATAAATTTTAAATTTGAAACAAATACACTAATCAGAATGGCTGAAACTAAAAATACTGACAATATAAAATGTTAGTAAGGATGTGGAGCAACATGAAATCTCATATATTGTTGACAGAAATGCAAAATGGTAAAACTACTTTGAAAAATATCTGGCAGATTTTTTTTTTTTTTTTTTTTTTGAGACAGAGTCTCACTCTCTCACCCAGGCTGGAGTACAAAGGTACAATCTCGACCCACTGCAACTTCCACCTACTGAGTTCAAGTGATTCTCCTGCTTCAGCCTCCTGAATAGCTGGGATAACAGGTGTGTGCCACCATGCCCAGCTAATTTTGTATTTTTAGTAGACAGGGGGTTTCACCATGTTGGCCAGGCTTGTCTTAAACTCCTGACCTCAGGTGATCCACTCGCCTTGGTCTCCCAAAGTGCTGGGATTTACAGGCATGAGCCATTGCACCCAGCTGATCTGACAGATTTGTTTACAAAGTCAAACATATACCTATCTTATGACTCAGCAATTTTCCTCTCAAGTATTTTACTCAAGATAACTTGGGGGAAAGGTTCACAAAAAGATTTATACAAAATGTTGACAGTGTTATTCATAATAGCTAAAAACGAGAAATAGACCAAGTATTCATTAACAGAAAAATGGATAAATTGGTATTTTTTAACAATGAAATACTACTCAGCAATAAAAAAGAATGAACCAACATTGCTGGCAATAAGACATACTGATATCATGAGGCCCTTGATATGATGCTTTCAGACAGACACAAAATAATTTCTGTGGTAGTCTGGCCAAAAATATAACCATATTCCAAAATCATGAGGAAACATCAAACTCTGGAGAGACATTCTATAGAATTACTCTTCAAAGTGTCAAGATTATGAAAGACAAGGAAAGACTGAAAACTGCCACAGATTGGAGGAGATTAAGAAGAAATAACAACTAAATGTAACATGAGATTCTGGACTGGATCCTCTACCAGAAAAAAGACATTATTGAGAGAAGTAATTTTTTTTTTTTAAGACAGAATTTCACTCTTGTTGCCCAGGCTGGAGTGCAATAGCACGATCTCAGTTCATTGAAAACTCTGCCTCCCAGGTTCAAGCGATTCTCTTGCCTCAGCCTCTTAAGTAGCTGGGATTACAGGCACCTGCCACCATGCCCAGCTAATTGTTGTATTTTTAGTAGAGATGGAGTTTCACCGTGTTGGCCAGGCTGGTCTCGAACTCCTGACTTCAGATGATCTACCCTCCTCAGCCTCCCAAAGTCCTGGGATTACAGATGTGAGCCACACTGTGCCCAGCCAAGTTAAAATTTTCAACACTAAAATGGTATTCTCCAACACTAAGAAAACTGAATATTAGATTGACATAGAAACTTCCCTTATAACAACTCTAATGGTATAAAATTTACAAGAGGTTTTATTCACAGATAAAGAAGCAAGTCCCTTTTCCAGTTACATGGATGGGTCTTCCAGGGAAAACAGCTAACACAGACCACTGTTTCTTACAACCAGCCTTTCCTTGAGCTCATGGTACTTGTCTCATTCAGTCTCAGACTAACAAGCTCTGAGTAAAGCTCTGGCTATTACTATAAACGACACAGTTATTAGACTGGTTTACAGACACCAAGGTTAATTAACTCCTTTGACTGATGCATTTAAGCTCATATCTGACCAGCCAGATTCCCAGGGAGAGCTGTGGAAATGTCTTCAAAAGCCTTTTTTCTAGGAGCTGGGTAACAGAGGAAATGTAATCCCAGCCTTCCTGTCTCTGCACATTCTGGGACTCCTCAATAGGCCTAGCACCTCAGCCATTCATGTGGTTTTAAATGTTTTTAATTTTTAATTTTTAACTTTTTTTTAGATAGAATCTCACTCTGTCACCAAGGCTAGAGTGCAGTGGTACAACCTCACCTCATTGCAACCTCCACCTCCCCAGTTCAAGCGATTTTTCTGCCTCAGCCTCCCAAGTAGCTGGAACTACAGGCACATGCCACCACACCTGCCTAATTTTTGTATTTTTAGTAGAGATGGAGTTTCACCATGTTGACCAGACTGGTCTTGAACTCCTGACCTCAAGTGATCCATCTGCCTCAGCTTCCTAAAGTGCTGGGATTACAGGCGTGAGCCACTGTGCCTGGCCTCATTCGTTTAATGTGTGGCCTTCAAAGCAGAGAAGAATAGAGAAGAAACAAAGTAGAAAAGAAACAGGAAATCTGAAGATTCTCTATTACTATGAACTAAATATTTATGTCACCCCAAAATTCCATGTTAAAACCTGACACCCAATGTGATGGTATTAGATGGTAAGGCCTTTGTCAGTGATTAGGTCAGGAATGGGACTACTGCCCCTATAAAAGAGACCCTGAGAGCTCCCTCCCTCCTTCTACCATGTGAGAACATAGAGATGGCTATCTCTGAACCAAGAAATGGGCTCTTGATCAGACACCAAATCTGATGGCACCTTGGGCTTGATTTCCCAGACTCCAGAACTGTGAGAAATTTCCACTGTTTATAAGCCACCCAGGTTACAGTATTTTGTTATAGCAGCCCAAATGTACTAGGACAGCTATCAGGCTGTAGCCCACGTTCTTTATTTCTACCACCAAGAGAGGGAGGACAGGCCCAGGTCATAGATCCTATGCTAAGCCCTGCAGAAACACACCATTCTCAAGAAGCACTTATCACACACTGTGGTAAGCCAGTGGGGTAACTATTATTAATAAAACGAACTACATACTGGCATCTTCGGAAAAATCAATCTCTTTGTAGGACATATTCAGACCCAAAGCCAGGATCATGCAAATCTGAGCATTTCCTTGCAACATGACCAAACTGCATGGTCTTCAAATGATCGGTACTATCTTGGAGAAAGTGCCAAAGCAGCTCAGAAAAATACAGCAGTTCACCCCTTATCCATGGGGAGTATGTTCCAAGGGGATATGTGGATGTCTGAAACCACAGATAGTGTTGAACCCTATTGCTGTCAACTGGAACACATTTCTTCCATCAACAAATGTAATGCCTTTCCATCTTAACCAAGTACTTACCATGCACTGTGGCTGTAACTTGTGCAGTTTGAGGTGCGACAGCAAAACTAGCATAAATTTCTTTTTCCTCCTTCACAGTTTCACAAATAAAAAGATTCTTTTTTTTGAGACAGAGTCTTGCTCTGTCACCTAGGCTGGAGTGCCATGGTATGATCTCAGCTCACTGCAACCTCTGCCTCCTGGATTCAAGCAATTCTCCTTCCTCAGCCTCCTGAGTAGCTGGGATTACAGGCACGTGCTACCACACCTGGCTAATTTTTGTATTTTTAGTAGAGACAAAAATATTCACCATGTTGGCCAGGCTGGTCTTGAACTCCTGATCTCAGGCAATCCACATACCTAGGCCTCTCAGAGTGCTTGGGTTACAGGTGTGAGCCACCACGCCCAGCCAGAAGATTCATTCTTATCATAGATCTTTGCAACCTCAGTATACAATTTGTTTCTTTCTTTCTTTCCTTAAATTTCTCTCATCTTTTCACTTAAAGAAGCATTTTTGGCCAGGCGCGGTGGCTCACACCTATAATCCCAGCACTTTGGGAGGCCGAGGCGGGTGGATCACGAGGTCAAGAGATCGAGACCATCGTGGACAACAAGGTGAAACCCCGTCTCTACTAAAAGTACAAAAATTAGCTGGGCATGGTGGTGCGCGCCTGTAGTCCCAGCTACTTGGGAGAATTGCTTGAACCCAGAAGGCGGAGGTTGTGGTGAGCCGAGATCGTGCCATTGCACTCCAGTCTGGGTAACAAGAGCTAAAATGTATCTCAAAAAAAAAAAAAAAGAAAAGAAAGAAAGCATTTTATGGCTTCTATTTGGCATATCTGAATTGCCAGCATCGCTTCTCTTGTTCTTTGGGGCCATTATTAAATAAAATAAGGTTACTTAAATAGGAGTACTGCTAGATGGTGACTAAATGACTAATGGACAGGTGGCATATACGGCATGGATACACTGGGACAAAGTGATGATTTACGTTCTGGGTGGTAGCAGAGCAGGACAGCATAAGATTCAGAATGGCATGCCCTTTACAACTTAAGAATTGTTTTCTTTTTGAAAATTTTGAGGTGGAGTCTCACTCTGTCACACAGGCTGGAATGCAGTGGTGCAATCTTGGCTCACTGCAACCTCTGCCCTCTGGATTGGAACAATTCTCCTGCCTCAGCCTCCTGAGGAGCTGGGATTACAGATGTGTGCAACTATGCCTGGCTAATTTTTGTATTTTTAGTAGAGACAGGGTTTCGCCATGTTGGCCAGGCTGGTCTTAAACTCCTGACCTCAGGTGATCCACCCACCTCAGCCTCCCAGAGTGCTGGGATTACAGGCATGAGCCACCACACATGCTATTTCTGGAATTTTCTATTTAGTATTTTTGGACTGTCATTAACTATGGGCAACTGAAACCCTGGAAAGCAAAACCAAGAATAAGTGGGACTACTGCACTAAAAGTCCTCTGAAAAATCATGTCTGGGTTAAAGTAGTCAATGCAATGAAAACATTTGTATGTAAGATGAATCTAAGGTTTTATGCTTAATATGGCTGTGGCTAGAATGCTAAAAATTAAAGTTTAAGTGACAAATAGGAGCAAAGCTAAAAGATCATATAATAAAAATACTTTAGAAATCAATGTTACCTGATCAAGATTTTTGAAAAGGAGAATATCTTTGCAAGCTTCCTGAAGTCTGCATCTCTGTTCATCAGTTTTAGGATGAATCACCTGCCAACCCAAATAAAACCATGGAAATTATTTTATTCCATTTTAAAATAACCACTTAAAGACTGGTATATTTCTTTCTACAAAGAGTGGGAAAAATAAAGAGTATGCTGTCATTTTAATTTTACATAAATATCAAGCTGTATGCTGAAGGTGGAGGGACAATGTAATATAGGGGTGAAGAGCACTGACCCTGGAGCCAACTGCTAAGTGGCTGGCAGCAAGTCAGCCGTCCCTTGGGAGCCTCGGGATCTTCATCCATAAAGTAGAGGGTTATAAATTTGTTCTTTAAACAAATACTGAGCATCTACTCAAAGAAAAAGTGCATCATTTAATCTGACCAGAAATAACAGACGTTAAAAGTGTTGGCTGGACTTGGTGGCTCACACCTGTAATTCCAGCACTTTGGAAAGACAAGGCAGGCAGATCACAAGGTCAGGAGATCGAGACCATTCTGGACAACATGGTGAAACCCTGTCTCTACTAAAAACACAAAAATTATCTGCGTGTGGTGACACTTGCCTGCAATCCCAGCTACTTGGGGGGCTGAGGCAGGAGAATCACTTGAATCAGGGAGTAGGAGGTTGCAGTGAGCCAAAATTGCACCACTGCACTCCAGCCTGGTGACAGAGCGAGACTCCATCACCAAAAAAAAAGTGTTAAGTATTTTTAATTTGTGATATTAAATTAGGAAATAACTTTTACAGTCATCAAGAATTTTATAACTAGAATTTAAAAATTTACATGATTTCTAAATTCACAAAAATGGTAGCATTTATTAGAATACTTCAGAAATTTTCATATGTTACTCATTTTAAGGGTAACTTGACTTAAAGGTAAAATGATAGATCATTAAAGGTTTTTTTTGTTTTTGTTTTTGTTTTGAGACAGAGTTTTGCTCTGTTGCCCAGGCTGAAGTGCAGTGGTGCGATCTTGGCTCACTGCAACCTCCACCTCCCAAGTTCAAGTGATTGTCCTGCCCTAGCCTCCTGAGTAAGTAGGATTATAGGTGCACACCACCACACCAGGCTAATTTTTGTGTTTTTAGTAGAGATGGAGTTTCATCATGTTGGTCAGGCTGGTCTTAAACTCCTGACCTTGTAATCCGCCTGTCTCCACCTCTAAAAGTGCTGGGATTCCAGGCGTGAGCCACCATACCCGGCTCACTAAAGTTTTTTTTATAATATCAATTGTTTTTTTGTTTTTTGAGATGGAGTTTCACCCTGTCACCCAGGCTGGAGTGCAGTGGTGAGATCTCAGCTCACCACAACCTCTGCCTCCCAGGTTCAAGCGATTCTCCTGCCTTGGCTTTCCGAGTAGCTGGGATTACCGGTGCCCGCCACCACACCCGGCTAATTTTTCTATTTTTAGTAAAGACGAGGTTTCACTATGTTGACCAGATTGGTCTGAACTCCTGACCTCAGGTGATCTACCCACCTCAGCCTCCCAAAGTGCTGGAATTACAGGTATGAGCTACCACACCCAGACTATAACAGACTATAAAATGATAGTTCTTATATGCTCTCATAAAAGTAATTTATGTCAATTTTACAAAAGTTTAAAAAACTAAGTTGTTTTTTTTTTTTTTAAAAGCACTCAAAAATCAAACATGGTCTTATCACAACTACTGTTAACATCTGGGGTATATACTTCCAGATAGAATTTTCTCTCTCTCTCTCTCTCTATATATATATATTTCAAATTTATTATTTTACAAAATGCTCTATAAAATGCACCTCACACAAACATACAGCCCATACCATTACATACAGTCCTGTACCATCACTTTCAATGGCTACAGATTCTTTTCATTTGAATGCACCATAATTTAGCCCCTTGTGATATCATATTTTGGGTCATTTAGGTTGTTTCCATTTTTCATTGTTATAACACTACAATAAGCTCCATTTGTATATCCTCGAGAAGGATCCAACTTTCATTAGGGATGAATTCTCCTTTAGGTAAATGCTAAATCAGTTGGCTTGACCGTAAGTATTTAAGGCTTGTTATTAATTTTTTTTTTTTTTTTTAATAGAGAGAAGGTCTAGCTGCATTGCCCAGGCTAGTCTCAAACTGCTGAGCTTCAAGTGATCTTCCCACTTCAACCTCCCAAAGTGCTAGGATTACAGGTGTGAGCCACCATCCTCGGTAGTTTGTGTGTGTGTGTGTGTGTGTGTGTGTGTGTGTGTGTGTATGTGTGTGTTTTGTTTGCAGCCTTGACCTCCTAGGCTGTAGCAGCAATCCTCCTGCCTCAGGCTCCTAAGTAGCTGCAAATACAGGCATGTCCCACCAACCCCGGCTAATTTTTTTTTTTCCCCACAAATATAGGGTCTTCCTATATTGTCCAAGCTAGTCTTGAACTCCTGGCCTCAAGCGATCCTCCTGCCTCAGCCTCTCAAAGTGTTGGGATTACAGGGGTGAACCACCATGCCCAGCCTGTTTAAGGCTTCTGACAGCTACAGCTAGGCACTTCTCATCATACCCTCAACGAGTGCAGCTTTCAATCTGTTAGACTGAAAATGTCACTTTATTGATATTTTAATTTGCATTTAATTACTAGCATGATGAGTTTTTGTTATGTAGAGAAGGCAAGTTAGTGAAAAATACAATTCTACCTAATATCTTTGCTTTGGGTCTTACCCTTGGATCTGTATCTTCCTCTTCCTCATCAGGGTTATAGGTCTCAGCACAGACTAAAATTGGAGAGAAAAAAACAAAGAGATGAATGAATTTAATAGATGCATGGCTTTAGAAAAAACAGGAACTGAATTCAATTTCCTTTTATCCACTGTTAATTTTTTTGAGACAGAGTTTCACTTTTGTTGCCCAGGCTGGAGTGCAGTGGCACAATCTCAGCTCTCTGCAACCTCCATCTCCCAGGTTCAAGCAATTCTCCTGCCTCAGCCTCCCAAGTAGCTGGGATTACAGTCATGCACAACCATATCCGGCTAATTTTCTATTTTTAGTAGAGATGGGGTTTCACCATGTTGGTCAGGCTGGTCTTGAACTCCTGACATCAGGTGATCAACCTGATGTATAATATAAATGCTCATGTCTGTAATCCCAGCACTTTGAGAAGCCGAGGCAGGCAGATCACAAGGTCAGAGATAGAGACCATCCTGGCCAGCATGGTGAAACCCCATCTCCACTGAAAACATAAAAATTAGCTGGGCATGGTGGTATGCACCTGTAGTCCCAGCTATTCAGGAGGCTGAGGCAGAAACTTGGCAGACGGAGGTTGCAGTGAGCCAAAATCATGCCACTACACTCCCATCTGGTTGACAGAGTGAGACTCTGTCTCAAAAAAAAAAAAAAGAGAGTTGTAGGAAACACAAAGGAAAAAGCAAGGTGAAGAAGAGTATATATAGCATGCTATCCTTTGCAGAAGAAAGACTTCCATGACAAAGGAGAACTAAGAATGGAGGGAAAATAAATATAAATATGATATACTTTTACTGGTTAATTTTTCCAAAAGGAAACAATTTGAGAAAAATAAAACGGAAAGTAACAAAATTATTTTTCTAGTGTATAGATAGAAACAGAAAAGAAGGGATAGGGAAGGGAATGAAACTTCTCTGAGGAAACATTTTTATATAAAAAGTTTTGACATTTAAGCCATGTTAATTTTTCACATATTTTAAAAATTAAATCAGTAACAAGGATCCTAAAACTAAGTACAAAGAAAAACAAAAAAACCTACCCATGTATCAAGGTGATAACATAATCAGAGAAGGAAAGAATTAGATTCTAAGTAGCTTCTGAACATAGTACTGACCATCCACCTCAGTGGTATATACTGGATCCCAAAAAAAAAAACAACAACTGATGTTGGTGATGGTATAGCAATTCCAAAACTCTTCTTTTTTTTCTTTTTGAGAGACAGTCTCACTCTGTTGTCCAGGCTGGAGTGCAGTGGCATGATCTCAGCTCACTGCAACCTCTGCCATCCTTGTTCAAGCAATTCTCTCACCTCAGTCTCCTGAGTAGCTGGGACTACAGGTGTGTGCCACCACACTTGGCTAATTTTTTGTATTTTCAGTAGAGACAGGGTTTTGCCATCTTGCCCAGGCTGGTCTCAAACTCCTGAGCTCAGGCAATCCGCCCTCCTTGGCCTCTCAAAGTGCTGGGATTACAGGCATGAGCCACCACACCCAGCCTGTAATTCTAAAACTTTTCTATGTGTATTACTGTAGAGAGTAAATAAAAAAAAACACAGATTTTTAAAAATTGTTACTGGTGAGAAGGGGGATATAAATATGGACTGGAGGAAGAATTAGAGCTATCAATACAAATCATTATTTTAAAACCTCACCCCTACGTGTTATTTGCAGAGACAATAAATTATTTAGTGAATAAAGAGTTTTGTACTAAGAAAACTGTTTCTACCAAGAATGAACTAGTTGTGATCACTGATGTTACTCAGAAAGCAGCAAAGCTATACCCTCTTAACAATACAGGCCATTATAGCTGGGAAAAGTGTTCTTATAATAAATCCTCAGTGATCTGTAATAGCTGTGTGACCAGAGGTAATTTATTGCATATCTCCACCCTTCCTCAGCATAATGGCACAAACAATGGTGATTTCTCTCTGAGGACTGTTGTAAGGATTCAAGTAGATAGGTGTCAGGCACACAGTAAGGAGGCAACTCAAACTATTACCGTTATTATCTTGCTTCCATTTATTCTGGGTTTCAGGAGAATTAATTATTGATATGTTAGTTGTTTTTTTGTTTGTTTGTTTGTTTTTTGAGACGGAGTTTTGCTCTTGTTACCTGGGCTGGAGTGCAATGGCGCGATCTCGGCTCACGGCAACCTCCACCTCCTGGGTTCAGGCAATTCTCCTGCCACAGCCTCCTGAGTAGCTGGGATTACAGGCACGCGCCACCATGCCCAGTTAATTTTTTGTATCTTTAGTAGAGACGGGGTTTCACCATATTGACCAGGATGGTCTCGATTTCTTGACCTCGAGATCCACCCGCCTCGGCCTCCCAAAGTGCTGGGATTACAGGCTTGAGCCACTGCGCCCAGCCAGGATATGTTAGTTTTCTATCTCACCTCTTTTAAAAACTGTCCTTTCTTCCAGGCTAAACTCCATCACATATTGCTACCCTTAACAACTTTGCTCTTTTTGCTTTCTCTAGTTTTTTTTTTTTTTTTTTAAATCCACCATCTGCTCTCCAAGATAGAGTTTCACGCTATCACCCAGGCTGGAGCATAGCAATCTGGTCTTGGCTCACAGCAACCTCTGCCTCCCAGATTCACACGAGTCTCCTGTTTCAGCCTCCTGGGTACCTGAGATTACAGGTCTAAAAGCCTGGCTAATTTTTGTATTTTTAGTAGAGACAGTTTTTTTGTTTTTTGTTTTGCCATGTTGGTCAGGTTGATTTCAAACTCCTGACCTCAAGTGATCTGCCCATCTCAGTTTCCCAAAGTGCTAAGATTACTGGCATGAGCCACCACACCTGGCCAATTATTTTTATGTATTTAATTCTTGCTCATTGTTTTTAGTTTCCTTATAATCTTATCACACTCATTTTCTGTTTCATCTCAGCCAATTTTATCCTTGACTTTTTCTCAGAATTCATAAGGGCAATGATTTCTTATACTTTACTGAGCAGTTTGTAGTGGACCTTTCTAGTCTTCATCCTTAACCAGCTGAGTTCACTCATAGGCCCTGTATTGTTTATTAGGATTTATTTATCATCTGTTAACAGGCAACAAACAGTCCTTGACTCTACTCTCAATCTGTGTGATAGCTAAAAGATTCCATGTATCTATAACTACAGGACAGGCTGATAAACACAACTCCCAATTTATTTATTTATTTTTATTATTATTATTTTTTGAGACAGAGTCTCGCTCTCTTGCCCAGGCTGGAGTGCAGTGACATGATTTCAGCTCACTGCAACCTCCGCCCCCCAGGTTCAAGTGATTTTGTTGCCTCAGCCTCCCAAGTAGCCGGGGCTACAGGTGCATACCACCACACACAGCTAATTTTTGTATTTTTATTACAGACGGGGTTTCACCATGTTGGCCAGGCTGGTCTCAAACTCCTGACCTCAAGTGATCCACCCACCTCAGGCTCCCAAAGTGCTGGGAGCCCAAGGTGTGAGCTACTGCACCCAGCCCCACTCCTACTTTAATTCCCAGTTTCTTAGAGACACTTACTATAGTCCTGGCCTAGCTACACCCCAGCTTCCCTTCCCTCACTGATTCTCTAAACCAATAAAAGATCTGAGAAATGATGACTTCCATTGTGTCCTATACCCAGGACTCTCTCATCCCTGCCTTAGCATATAATACTCTACATGTTTGGCCCATGCCACTTGTGCAGTAATGCCATTAATACCAAGTGCCCAATAGGGACCTTGTATCCTAAAAGAGTTAAGAGAAAAATTAGGGGAAATAGAATAAGAAAAGATACACCATTCTAGTCCCTGAAATAGCATTAGGTGATGCTCTGCAGAGGGCTGCCCAGTTTCTGGCTACTGTGGACCTTGGGTCACTGAGCCAGGGAAGTGACAACGGGGATGTAGGTTGACTCATTATCTTTACAAAGCATTTTTGTTTCCATAAGATGAGGCCAGGGTACACTTTATCTCAGTTCGTCCCTAATGATTAAGGCAGTCACCCATCTTAGTTCCTAGGCATTTCTTTTTTTTTTCTTTGAGACATCGTTTTGCTGTTGTTGCCTAGGCTGGAGTGCAATGGCACAATCTTGGCTCACTGCAACCTCCGCCTCCCAGGTTCAAGCAATTCTCCTGCCTCAGCCTCCTGAGTAGCTGGGATCACATTCTAGTTTAGGAAATTAAACTAGAATGGTGGTGCCCACCACCACACCCAGCTAATTTTTTATATTTTTAGTAGAGACAGGGTTTCACCATGTTGGCCAGGCTAGTCTCAAACTCCTGACCTCAGGTGATTGACCCACCTTAGTCTCCCAAAGTGCTGGGATTACAGGTGTGAGCCACCAAGCCCAGCCTCCTAGCCATTTCTGTTGTCATTTTTTGCATCTTCATGGGTATTTTGGTAGGAAACTTGGGAAGCTGCATCAAGGACATCTAAGCAGACACTATGTTAAACTGCAAGTTTCTTGGTTCTCTGTGCTCTTGATTAATGCCATTATCAGCCTAATTTTCTAAACTAGAAATTTGGAATTAATTTCTTCTTCTCACCTCTTCTCTGATGAATACATCAAATTCTGCTTCAGAAATATTCTCATATTTGATCTTTATTCAGTGTATTCCAATTGCCATTCCTTGGCCTAAGACTTCAAAACAGCTACTTAGAATAATATATTTTAAAAATTCATTTCAGGAAATAAATGGGTATATTGATATTATGCTAACTTCCTCTACTTTTGTGCATGAAATCTTCCTTTTTAATTTTTTTTTTTTTTTTTGAGACACAGTCTCACACTCAGTCACTGAGGCTGGAGTGCAATGGCACAATCTCGGCTCACCGAAACCTCAGCCTCCTGGGTTCAAGTGATTCTCGTGCCTCAGCCTCTTGAGTAGCTGGGAATTACAGGCACATACCACCATGCCCACCTAATTTTTGTATTTTTAGTAGAGATGGGGTTTCATCATGTTGGCCAGACTAGTCTGGAACTCCTGGTCTCAAGTGATCCACCCACCTCAGCCTCCCAAAGTGCTGAGATCACAGGCATGAGCCACCATGCCCAACCCTTTTG